TTATTCTCCCTTTTTCTCGCTCCTTTATACTAACGTAGCTTTACAAGCTAAACTTCCTCACATTTAGCTTCCACCTTCCCAGTCGTGTCCCTATGACTTGACCTTGCAGCAATTCAAGAAGAATTGATTTCTCTTGCTGGCTTTGTGTGAAACCCTATCATCAAAACGGTCAGACAAATGTTCTCCTTCAGTTCCCAGACCTGGATGGAACTCGTTCTCTTTCTGTTCACTCCGTTTTATCTGTCTGCTTTTTCTATTTTTCTGGTCCCTGGTTTCTTCTCTTCTCCCCTGAACCCCCATAAAAAGGGAAAAGATGATTAATGCAACATCTATCATTGAGTAGTGTTAGCTTCACTCAACCTTTTTACACCCAAATGCCTTCAGGGAGATATTGTTACTGAAATCACATTTTAGTTATCACTGGCTATTATATTTCCTCAAATGCTGAACAAAGCATTTCATTTTGTATGCGTTGGCTTTTTCAAAAATAATGTTTTTTTGTATTTTTAATGTTGTGACTATAAAATTATGTCTTTTTGCACAGTTTTTTTACAAAGCAGTTATAAAAGTTTGTGCAAACTAAACATTTTCTGTAGTAACTGTTGTTTTGTTTTTAAAACAGCATAGTTTTCAAACTTTCATTCAGGCAAAACCTGAAGCTAAGTAACCAATACTGAACAAGATTTGTGTCACTCGATGCAATAAAATGAATAAAATGTTATTTAACTAATAATGATTAAGATTTAGAGTTTAACTTTTTGACTTACTAAATCTGCACCAGCATCTGCAACCACAGTTTATTGGTATCATCTTCCAGCCAAATGCAGCTTTATGATTCATCACCGAAAATCACTGTCATCTCATCATTTGCAGCACATTCCTAGCCATCTTGCCTGAAAATAACTGGCTTTCACCTGGTCCTCCTTACAGCCTCTATTCCAGGTTATTCCTGGTTTACCTTTACATTTTTGTGAAATTCATTTCAATTCCTGCTGGTCATTTCTCACAAGTACTGATAAAATCTGATTTTCTCTTCATCTTTTGTTGCTCTAGTCTAATGTCTCGCTGGTTTTTATGATTTCCTTTCAATAATGTCTCCTCCTGTTCAATAATGCTCCACCATTTTTTGTGACACCAAACTGTCTTCTTGGAGTTTAGGATGGAGGACTTCACATTTTTTGCCAGATGGTTGTATTATTGATACACAGACATCATCAAAGTGTGACATCTTTATGATTTGAGGCAACAGTGCCATTTTGAAAACAGCAGTGCGCTGCAGCATCAAGAATAATCGGCCTCCTCTTCCGCTCTGTGATCTGACTCTCTGTTCAAGCGTGCAGAACATTTTCCAGGCTTGAACTCCCAGTTGCCTCTTAGCCTTGAGATTCTCAGTTAGAAACTTGTGAATGCACTAATGTGACATCGTTATCACACTCAGGTGCTTCCCTGTGCTCCACAGAGCAGCAGCAGCAGCGAGGGCTTCTGGTGCCAGCAGGTCTCCTCTCCGATGTGCAAAGAACAAACAACATTTTAATCTTTACAAGTTTGTGCCAAAAGCTTCCATCACATTTTAACTCACTGTTTTGGTGACAAAGAAAAGACCTTGTGATGGAGCCGCACTCCTGCGTCACCCTGCTTTAGTTTTAGAGACTGGTTGCTGACAGAGGACACTGCAGAGAGGGTGATGGAGCTGCTGGAGTCAGAGGAGCAGAAACCTCCACCTCCCTCTGCTCTGCAGTGCTGCACACACTGCTGGACCACACACACGCACAGATGCTCTCTCAGACACAATGGGTTGCCTTCCCTCCAGTCCAATAACAGGCCTATTCATTAGAGTCTCTTACAGACAGTATTGACAGCCCGCTGACACATAGTCACTCCAGCATAAACAAATGGAGCTATAGCGAGGAGCAAACGGCGGAAAGGGAGGAGGGGAAGCGACCTGTTATAATGGCTTTTTGACTCAGGAAGGATCCTCATAAACCAGGAACGTGGGCATACACGCAGGAACTAGAGCTCAGGCTACACACACCCTCACCGTCACCACCAAACATTACAATAAGTACTTTCATTTAAAGTCTTATTGCACTGCTGAAAGGCGAGTTAGACTGAGTTAAGCAAGGAGCTTAGAAAGGGTCTCAAACACAGCAGCATAGAGAAACAGAGCTGTAATATGGCCAAGAAGAAATTTAAATAGCAAAATACAGGATCTTAAAAACAAAAGTTGATGATTTATAATGTTTTTCACATTATTTTTTCTCTTGAAATTTTTATTTTGGTGTTTTGTGAAGTTATCAAAGCCCAGTTGAAGTTTTTATTATCATGTCTTGAGGATATGAAGTTCTACTTTCTGTCTGCATCAAACCTTTTCTAGTTACATCTCAAGCTAATAAACCAAAACTGACAAAAAGCATGCCATGCAAGCATCTGGTTCATTAACTAGTTATGATTATAACGCACCTCGCACGCACACAAACAGAGTAGAGCAGTAATGGAGAAAACTCTGGTGAAAAAGGCTGACTTGCTCGTAGATGTGTTCTCCTGTGTCTTATTTGATTTGACCTCTGGAATTAGGTGCAGACTCTTAGAGGAAGTGGAGTCAGAGGGGTAGGTGAACTGAATGAGCAAGTAGCAGACAGGTCACCAGAGAGAGACAGGTGTTATGAAGACAGATGAGATCCGGGTGGGTGTGCAAACACAAAGGCAAAGAGACAGACAAAAAAAAAAGCCCTGAATTCCGGAGGTCAGCTCCGATTCAAATAGACAAGACAGATGAACATTATTCAAACATGAACTGATCTTGACACGAATGAGTTCCAAGATACTTTGAGATTAAGCTTGTAAAATGGGTTTTAACAGAAATGTCTTTTGAGCAGTTCTCATGCAGCATATGGAGGGTAGGTAGAAAGATAGCACTTCCCAAGGTGAGTTTCAAATCAGACGCACCCTGAAGATGTCCAAGAGCTTAAAGGACAGCTGGTGTCCTCCTCTCAGCCATTGGTGGAAGAGCCATGAGTTGGTGCAGCAGAGCCCATATTAGGCAAACAGCTGCTCACTGTATAGGGCAACAAAACATTCCTTATTACAATTATCTGCAGCGGGACTGTCATCACTATCTTAGCTATCAGAGACCCAGAATGCCTGCAATGCTTGTTACCACTGAGCAACAAACATGTGCAGGGAGCTGTAATGGCACGAGCAAAGGATACTTTCTCAAGGTCAGAGAAGACAAAGGATGGAATAAACGCTGTGATGGCCGTGCAGAGTAACAGAATTTACACAGACCGCCTCACACACCATATGCCACCTGTACGTCTCATTCTTATCAGTATTTTTTTGACTGATGTGCTCCATTTGCCTCAGCCGTACAATCACCACCTGACAGACCAATATCTGTGAGCTCGATCAGGAAATTAGCTGATTGAAGATTTAGATAAATGTGCGTCAGAGCTGTAAAGGTCACTGCAATGGCATTAGCCTTCCCAGATGAGCAAATAAAGTGTTGAATCACTAAAAAGCTGCAACAATGCAATCGTTTTGCGGCACATTTGACAATAGATCAGCTTGGAATTTGCAGAGATTAGCAGAATGAATGTCTGACTGAGTTCTTGACAAGCAAAAAGTTTAGTTCAGCTGTTTGTTATATGAAAATGTAATGCTCTGAGTAGTCGCTATGAGAAAACACTGGTTTAAGATACCGTACCTTGATATTTTTCTAAAAAGGCACCAGTGAGCTGAAATGAGGGGAACAGAAAATGCAGCTAGAACTAAATGCATTCAGTTTCTACAAAAGTGTAACTCAGAATAAAAATGTTTGTGTTTAACTGGTAAGATTGACAGGGTGATAACGACCCTGAGCTAAAACCATTAAAGCAGAAGGTTTGTTCTAGTGTTTACATATCCAGGCCAAATATCATTTACGGCAGCTGCTACCACCTGCAAACGGATCAAGACGGTACTTGTCTGAATGCTACGGCGTTCCAGCCAACTAAATGTTCACTTTAGCCACTAACCATGAGATGAATAAAATGCTGAAATTATTAGATGCAAACTTTTATGCTTGCTAATAACTTTACATGCATGCTTCAAACTCTCACAGCCCATTTTACACAAACTCCCCATAATCATTAAAAATGTCTGCTTGAAAAACATGCCTGCCGGGTGGGTAGAGAAGCAGAGCAGCGCCTGAATCAGCCCAGGCATGCGTTAAGACAAAGTGGCCTCTCCTTCAGAGCACATAGCAACACACACACACACACACACACACACTTAGAACAAAAACAACTGACTAACTCACACGTAGCGTCTTACAGAAACATCCAAACACACATTTCAAGACTCTCCCTTATACCTTCATGCACACACTGCACAGCTGCACACTGAAGGCTGCTGAAATCACTGGGATCCTCGTATGCATGTCTGGGTAGCGTGCACAGAGTTCCCCCTCTCAAGCATGGCCACGATGAGACCAGCATACTAAAGAAGAGCAAGCTGACTCAGACCAGATCAACAATGTATGATAACATGAAACAGCATGCAGAAGACTGAATCATTGCTGTCTAAGGAAATAAACACATAAATGCCCAAAAACCAGTTTGTTACCAACTCATATTGGAGGGTGATGCTTTAAAGATTCTATATAGAGGGTCAGAGTTGGATGTTTGTTTAAATTTGCATGCACTCATCAGTACGTTCAGATGAAACCTCTGGAAGAGCGCAGAAATGGTGGAGTCTGGTCATGTGACCAATAATGATACTCCAAACACTTTGACCTTCACTGACATCACTCACACCTGCCCCACTAGATGTACTGTTGTAATCACAAGCCCTAACTGTGACTGAAAGGTGCCTCCAAGCCTTCAGTTTGGACTCAGGGCAGGATGGAAACCAGGCAGAGCGCGTCGATAATCAGGAGCTGCTGAAGTTTAAGTAGGGATTAGTTAGACACAGACATGACTGACCTCCCAAAAATCCCCATGCGCCAAAGAGCGACGACTCACCCAGAATCATGCTGTGTTTGTGTTGCCTTTGGTGTCCCTGGGTTGACAAGTGGTTCTCCTCACCACCTCTGTCTCTCCTGCCAAGAGACAACGGCTCCAAAATTCAGAGTTCCTCTTCACTCCCCAGAAAGAGGCAACTCAGAGAGGCAGTGTCTGATGTGAGGAGAGACTGCTGCTGCTGCTGCTGCACATGTCGTCCCTTTGAGCCTGCCCTCTCCAGGTGGAAACTGTGTGTGTGTGTGTGTGTGTGTGTGTGTGTGTGTGTGTGTGTGTGTGTGTGTGTGTGTGTGTGTCTCTCTCTCTGTGTATGTACGTGTGTTTGGAGGAGGGGGTCCTGTGATTCTGCAGTGGTGGCTCAGGTAAGCCTGAGGACAGAATGCAGGTGGTTGGCAGCAGAGGAGGGAGAAAGAGGAGGAAAAAAAGGGGGAGCCTAAAGTGTGACAGCCAATCACAGATGGAGGCTATAGAGGCAAGATCTTCTATTCCGCAGCAGCCAGGAGGAAATGCAGTCGTCTCCAGTAAACAGCTGACAAGCAGTTTCCCTTCAACTGGGTCATTTCACATGGAGCATCATGGAAGGTCTTCAGTGCACTGTGTAATCAGCATCTGCATCCCCCACTCTGACTTCCTCTTTCTCTCTCTGCTTCTTGATTTTTGGGGTTGGGTATAAACTAAAGGCACCTTGCATGCCTCCACTCTGATTGGTGGCAGACACGGCCAATGGGAGCAGGGCAGACACTTGTCATCATGCAGAGCGGAAGTCATGAAGGAGAGATAGCTTGACTGACAATGCTTCAATTTTTCTTCTTTCTCACATTTTAGACCTTGATCACCACATCTCTCTCTCTCTCTCTCTCTCTCTCTCTCTCTCTCTCTCTCTCTCTCTCTCTCTCTCTCTCTCTCTCTCTCTCTCTGTCTCTCTTTTTTTCTCTCCCCCCCCCGACTCCACGTGTATGTGGACTTGTTACAGGATTAACCTTTCATCCATGTGGATTTGTCCATCTCACATTCCTTCTCAATCAAAGTGTATCTGTTCTTTCAACGAAAAGATAAACATTTAGACCGCAGGTGGAGGACAAAGAGAGGAGGCTGCTAAGCCAGAAGTTTAAAAAAAGAGAGAAAAAGAGAGATGCAATGGAAAGCGACGCAGAGAATGCACAGGAGGGAGGGGCAGAGATTAAACTAAATGCAAACTGACAGAGGGTTGAAGAGACGTGGAGTGACAAGAAGAGATGACCAGAAGGATGGAATATGGAGACAAAGACAAACAGGCTGTCGGACACAGGAGACAAATTAAACCGTGGACCAAGTCACTAATTGAAAATGAGCTTCACAGTCAGCTTCTTCTGGTCCACTTCCTCCACACCAGAAAAGCCACTCAAAGAATGCCTGCTGGCATGCTCCAGCACTGGTTCCCATCCCCTCATGAAGGAGAATTCTGGAGTAGCAGAGGAGTGGAGGTTTAAAAAAACACAGCTATCGAGAAGCTTCAGAAAAGGGCTTAACAAAACTGTCAAAAAAAATAATCCCCTGCGAACACACAGAAATAACCTGGGGGCTACAGCAAGCAGTGCCTGATGTTCACGGAGCCATTCCATGTCCTGCTTTCTCTTTTCTAACTCAACCCTCCCACTTCCCCTCTCACGCTCTTGGGCTGAGTCTGTGAGTCAAAGGGTGTTGGAGTGAATACTAAAGAGGCTCGCTGACACCTCCAGCAGCTCTCTGTGTGAGGCAGCTTCACTGCGTACATTTAAACCAATGTATATAAACACTGGCAGGCTTTAACTCCACAAACACCCACTCACTTTCTTACAGAATGAGTAAAAGCCTTGGACAATAAGCTTCTGGTGTTAAGGAGCAACCATCCTCCCACTTGCACAAGTGTGAATCATCAACAGAAAACAATGATGATAGTGCAAATGTGGAGCAGGAATCTTTCTCAACAGAAGAACAAACAGTTTAGAAAAAGAATTAAAGCCTTGAATCAGCCACAAGCACACAGCAGGGCTGCAGGAAATGGATCGGGCCCGGAGAATATTAGTTTTGGAAAATGGGACTCAAGGAGGAGGAGTAATAGCTCTCATCAATACAGGTGTGTGTGTGTGTGTGTGTGTGTGTGTGTGTGTGTGTGTGTGTGTGTGTGTGTGTGTGTGTGTGTGTGTGTGTGTGTGTGTGTGTGTGTGTGTGTGTGTGTGTGTGTGTGTGTGTGTGTGTGTCCAAAAACAGCTGAGATAGGATTTCCTCATTAGCAGTGTTGGTATCAATAATTCAGGGCTGGCCGTTGTTGCCGTTCAATGGGCCGAGGGCTAATGTGCTGTCAGGCCAACAGGGGCCCGGGGCCCAGTGCCACTTTAATGGATGTCATGATGAGAGGGTGAAATCGGAGCGTGGATATCCTGTGTCATCCAGTCAGGAAGGCGGGGAGAGGAAAAGGCAGAGGAGAGGAGTGAAGTTAAGGGGACAGGGGAAGGATGAAGGCAACGTGGGGTAGGACAGATAGGATTATCGGACAGGTGAGGGAGCAAAGAGGTGATAGTAGAAAGAGAGAGAAATCGCTGTACCAAGACTTTAAGGTCGCTTTGTTTATGATGGCTGCAGGTGATCATTGTGAAGGAAGTGTTATCGCATGGAGGGGGGTGTGGACACATGTCAAGGTGCTGAACGGGGACTATTGTCTCTGAACAGAAGCATTGTTTTATTAGATTTTTACTTGTGTTTCTGTAGTTACTCTGTAATATCTGTATAAATGTTACATGGAAAAAAAAAGAGTACCTGCTTTTTCATTTTGATGGTATTTTGATGTAAACCAGTGATCTGCGACTCCTACAGCAGAAAGAAACATTTTACCCATAATCCTGGTTTGTATAGAGCCATTCAAATGTTGCAGACAGTCTTATTATGTTTATGTGTTGTGGAAAAAAAATAAGAAAATTAAACTTTCTTTTACAGGGATATACTTTTCCTACACTTGCAGAAACCTAAGATAAATTGCAGTTAGAAAAAATGAAGCATGAATTTTCATCTTAAATCCTAAAATCAGGTTATTACTGCTGTTATTTTTTTTTCTTTGGTAGTATTTTATTAGAATAAACCACAATAAAATGCTTAAATCGAGCTTTCAGGACAAACTTGGAGTCTGTTGCTCTTTTTTTGTTGAATATTTTTATTTATTTTTTTTCTTTTTTTTTGTCTTTTCTAGGTTTGGTGGTTTTGACTAAATGTTGGGTCTTTTTTTACCTGGTAAATTAGGTCAAAAATGAAACAACTGTTTCATATTCATATCCATATAGTTATTTAGAAATTTTTTTGTTTTGAAGTTATTTTCCAGTAAAGTAAAAATTTTGTGTCTATGTGGTATGTAGACGAAAACACGGTCTACCAAGTGGCCTACCCGCCAAAATCCAGAGTTTTAAACAAAACTTAACAAATATGGATTTTGTAAACTTTTGCTGCTTAAAGAGCCAATGTGTAGTTTTTATGGCTAATCTCTGGAAATGTCCATCGAAATGTTGTTGAAAATTAATGAAATGGTGTTCAGTTGTTGAAAAATATTGGCAGCTTCATAACATAACCATAAAAACCAGGTCTAAAATACATGAAACGGGTCTAAGGGTGTTCCTCAATGCCAAGGAACCTCACCTTGATGTCTTGGTCCTGCCACGGTTGCTTAGGAGATAAGTTATCAGGAACCGCCAAGGCGTGTTCCAATGTTCATGTTATACTGAGGTGTCTGTTCTCCGTTTGTTAGCCGTTTAGCTAGCTGAGCAAGAATACAAGGAAGGTGTCATGTAGCTGCCTTGGTCAAAAATTTCCCAGAATATAGCGCAGTATTTTCAAAAGGATGACAGTCAGAAGCCGGCAGCTACTTCAGGGGCAACTTTCAAGTTCAAACGTAAGTCGACTAATTGTGGCTATCGGGCTGACATCTGAAAAAAAAATTTAATATACAAAGAAGTTATCTAATATAACGTTACCTCAAATGTCACGTGAAGTGATGTGACCGCCGCAGAAGCCGTGTTCTTGTGATGCAAATCTGTTCCATTTAACTGTTTTCTTTGACCAAGAAAATACAGTGTCCCCATAAGCTAGGCGCATGGCCTCGCAAGACATCGCCTTGCGAGGCCATGCGCCTTGACATTGAGAAACACCCTAAGTCTCTGGACAATGCCATATTATAGGGCCATTCCCAGCTGTACCGGGTCGGCCCAAGCCGGGTAGCCCCAGTCGGCCCCAGCCTGGCCCGGTTGATTCCACACATCCTTGTCTTCAGCCCATGTGGGCTGATTCTACCCACCAATCAGAGGCTTGCTCTAATGGAAGGTGTGAATTTGCTGTCAGCAGTGGGTGTGTTGGCCCTGGTCGGCCTGAAGCAGACCCCCTCAAAAATAGGGCTGATAATGAGCCTTGGTTGGCCCGGAAAAATACCAGGCCACCCAGATATGTAAACAACCTACGCTACCCGGCCCGGGCCGACCCGGTACAGATGGGAATGGCCCATAAGATGCCATGTTTCCTTCTATGGGAGCCTGTGAGGAGAAAATGCATTTACTGACTTGCAACAAGCAGTTACAAAACTTTCACCATTCATAAACATTGCTGTTTTGCACATTTACCTCTTTGCTCATTGACAGTGATGAAAGGTTGCACTCCCTGGGATTTTTGACCCTAATGGCCATCCGCTGGTACGGTCTTACTCGAACACAAAAACACTGTTTGCTTGCAATGATTTAGACATGTACTGCCCCCTATTGCCAGGGAAAATACACACTGTCACTTTAAATCAAATGAAGTAAATGAACAAATTATTAGTTGTCATTGTAGAGAAGGAGTGGGACTAAAGAGACTGAGCTTCTTCCTGCTCTCTTTAAAAATTTACAAGTTGTATCCCCCTTTGTCTTCTAGGACACAACAAATCCTGAGTTTCATGGAAACAGTAGCATGGAATTGAAATTCCCCTCAGCAGGAAATATTTTTTCCCCAATAAGTGACCTATTGATCAGCAGCAGTCTTCATCTTGAAAAGGTCTACCGCTGATCTAAATGTTTAACCGATAATAGCTAATCAAGAATATTCTTTGAAAACCTTTTGGTGTTTTATTTTCCTTGATACTTGCAAGAAATGTAACCGTAGAGAAAGCGTTGGTGCAGTTACCGTCTGATCAATGAGCCACTCGAGCTTAGATGGCTTCCAATTTTCAATTAATCAAAGAATCTCCTTTGTCTGGACTCTGGAGAGAATGAAGGAGCAAAGGCAAGTGCAGTGTGTGTGTGTGTGTGTGTGTGTGTGTGTGTGTGTGTGTGTGTGTGTGTGTGTGTGTGTGTGTGTGTGTGTGTGTGTGTGTGTGTGTGTGTGTGTGTGTGTGTGTGTGTGTGTGTGTGTGTGTGTGTGTGTGGCCGATGAGAAAATTCAATCTCCCTTTTAGGTATGTCTAAAACATTTGTGTGCTCACTCTATTTTCTCAAAGAAACTTGTTTTTTATGTGAATCGTGATTTTTCTCAGAGGTTGTTGCATTTTTGTTGCATTTTCAGGTGTGTGCTCATGCGGTATGTTTCCCTTTACATGTCACCCAGCTCCTCGTTCACTGACTCACACTCATCCCAGGGATGTTTTGACCTGAAGCACCACAAAACCTCCGTTTCATGCAACGACTTTAAAGTCAACCTAACTCTGGTCCTATAATGCTGTGATCAAGTTTAACCCTCTCAGGCTCAAAATAAGTTTTGATAAAAGGATGAACAACCAAGTCCTTCAGGGGTACTTCAGAGTTAAAAAATGCTCATGAAATACGCATGTGGAGTAATCAGG